GCTTAGGGTTTGGGGTTTTGGGTTTGGGGTTTAGGGTTTAGGGTGGCTTTCGCGGAGGAAGGGCTCCCTTACAGCTTTTCGGAGTTTTGCGTGGGGTTGCTTCTGGAGATTTTTTGGGGGGGTGGATTTTCCTTTCAGGTTCAGGGGCTTCGTTTTTTGTTTGCAGGGCTGCTCCCAAGCGGCCCTAAACCCAAAATGCGAAGCCCTAAACCCTAAACCCTGAACCCCATGGGCTTTTTCCAGGATGGGTCCTAGGCTGAGGGGTTCCGGGGGCTGTGGAGGCTTAGCAAAAGGAAGCCTTGAAGTTTGGGGGCTTTTTTCAGGGCCCGGTTTGGTTTAGAGCTGTAGGGGTTTAGGGTGTCGGGTGGTGTGGAGCTACCGGGTTCAGGCCTTCGGATATGGGCGCTTCATTCGGATGCCGAGGTGCATTGAATTGTGGGTGGGGCTCTGCGTTCCTCCAACTGCTGCACAACTGAAAACGCTGAGCCCGACACACACCCACCCGCTTTATCCCGAGTCCTTTTCTAATGGATCTTCATCACCGACGCACTGACTGATTCACCTACCATGAAGGACCAAAGGCCCGAAACCCTAAAAGGGGGTCAGGGTTTGGATCTTCATGGCTTTAGGGTGTAGGGCTTCATGGGTTTAGGTTTAGGGCTTCATGGGTTTAGGTTTAGGGCTTCATGGGTTTAGGGTTTAGGGTTTAGGGGTCCTGGAAAACCCTCTCAGAGGCGATTCTAAGCCCTGCAGTTGAGGACCCCGACGTTCGTGCGGTGGCGCGAAGGGCCCATGATGCCCTGGAGGAGGTCGGTTTAGGGCTTGGGGTTTAGGGTTTAGGGCTTCGGGTTTAGGGCTTAGGGTTTAGGGTTTAGGGTTGCAAGAGGGAATCTTCAAGGTCGTAACTAGACCGTAGTTGGAATCACAAACCGCTTGCCTATGCTACGGAACTGTTTCTTCCTCTGCCACCGCGCTTTGAAGAACGAGGAGGCCGGTCGTAAGTCAGAAGGATTTCAGGTAAACCAAGAAGCCCTATACCTTTCAAGCCTAAGCACTAAAACCCATGGGCCTGAGCTCCAAGCCGGAGATGATTTGAGCTAACATGCCTTGGGATTCTGCCACTGAAACCTTGAAAAGCCTATCGTGGGCACTGGGGGTCTGAATTGCTCAAGCAGATCATAGGGTTTAGGGTTTTAGGGGATCGTAGACAGGGAGAGAGTGAATTGGGGAGGAAACAATCAGACTGCAGCTTGAGGCTCCAACATCAGTGAAGCTACTAGTCGTAGCAGATCATCATCTGAAGCCCTGCGGAAGAAGATTTCAACAAAGCTCGGACAGCCTAGACTTTATTGTCGAAAATTCGCAGTCGTAAGAGACTTACTTACTTGACCACATGTTGTTGGAGATCAAGCTTGCCACGTCGCTGCAAGCAGATGTCGCGGAGCCGAAGCACTTCCGAAGCACCAAGTAAAAGCCTTCGCCACAAGATGCCGCGACCCTGGAACCCAAAGCACTAAACCCAAAACCCTACACCCTAAACCTTAAACCCTAAACCCTGAAACCCTAAAGCCTTCAAGACGTGGACCAAAACTCTTGAGCCGAAAAAAGGCTCAATGATAAAAAAGCACTGAAGCTCTAGGACCCAAAAAGACCTTAAAGGGCCACCCACAGGAAGCAAGCCCCTAGTCTTAAACCTTTAACCATGTAGTGGAATATACCCCCAAAGCCCTGTCCTAGTTATGAAGGCCCATATACTAAACGTTTGTAGAACTCTGTAAAGGAACCCTTAAAGGAACCCAGTTTTAATTTTCGAGGCCCCTGCGTTACATCTTAAACCACCGAAAAGGTCGCCAGCGCCGACAGAACCGGTGCCATTCGCAAGGCTGGGGTTGAGAGTTCAGGAACTAGGGTTCAGGATTTAGGGCCTAAGGGCGTGCATGAATTAGGGTTTAGGGTTTAGGGGTTTAGGGTTTCGAGCTCAGGAATTGAGTTAGGTTTCAGGGTGCCGATCGAGAGACTGTGAAAGACTTTGAAGGACCATTAAGCCCTACATGCTGCATTCTGATCGTTTCTGGACCAGCAGGAAATCTCAGGTTCCCCCCATGAAACGCTTTGGGTTGTTGCTCTTGTGTATCCACCTGGGAAGGAGCTTCGTTCTCTGTTGGACATGGCCGTGACAGAGTCTGAGGTGGCTATGGCAGGCACGGGTGGGACACCAAACCCTCCACAACAAATTAGCTGCTTGACTCACCGCGGTCTTTCGGCACACCGTCTGATTTCAAGAGATGAGGGAGCCGAAGCTTGAAGCCGATTGGGGGTGCAGTCGTGATGTGGCACTTTATCGCTTCATGCCTGCAGCCTGCGTCGTTGTCAAATCATCTTCTGGTAGTCGTGGCGTTTTTCGTTTTTGGATGCTGCCTTCGTGTCATCACCAACATCACGGTCATCAGAACCGTCATCATTGTGGTCGTTGTCTTCTTCTCTGCCGCTGTCCGGCTCGTCAGTGTCGCATCTGTTTTGCTCTTTGCGCTCCGCCTAGGTTCCGCACCAGGGCAACTTGATGTGATCATGGTGTCGTTCCTCATGGTTGTGAAAGTGATGACACAGGTATACACAGATGATGGTGAGATAGGTAGATAGATATCATTATGGCGCTGTTTGAGCATGCCCCTAAGGACAAGGGGGCGGCCATGATTTTGGAGGAGAAGACGGCGGTGATAGTGTTGACGATGACGATAATGATGATGATGATGATGATGCCGATGGTGGTGCTGATGATGAAGATGTTGATGCTGATGAAGATTATAATGCCGAAGATGACTATGATAGTGACATTGCTGCTGATGATGGTGTTGATGATGAGGGTGATGATGTTGTTTCTGATGATGATGATGATGATGACGATGATGACTACGGATGGTGAGACTGTTCATACCGATGGCGAAGACAATGGCTATTGTTGATATGCTGTGGTAGCTGTATGCACGATAGTGAGGGTGTTGGTGACGATTCTGACGAAGGGGCTAAGATCACGCAAATTCGGTACGGCTAGACTAGCAGCTAGACCTAAGCCCTGCCATGTCGCAGATCCTGCAGTTGTCGAGTTTTGCGTGCTTGTCGTAAGTGATGTTTCACCAGTCTACTGCCATGTGCTGACTGATAGGACTCATAGGACTCATGCGTGTTATGATTCATGTCGTGCGGTGCGCCAGAAGCCGTGGGTGGTGGGCGAGATATCGCACGGACACCTTGTCCGCAGCACGTGCGCGACGTGGTGTTGGATCATGCCGATTCCCCAGAGACGCCTTTCAGTTAATGTCTATTGAGTAGGATCGGCAACATCTTTTCATTAGTTATGTCGAGGCGTCGGCTTACGGCTATTGAACCTTTGAACATTGCAACGTTTTGGACAGCGTGGTTGCGAGGCTTAGCATTCAGTGTCCAGGTGAGGCAATACTTCGTCATGGTTAAGCGGGAAACATGTACACAGACAAAAATGTATGCTGGCTTATATGTGTTTGAGTTATTTGCTCCGTTTCTCTCTTTGTATGCATGTAGCGTTACATAAGTGGAAGAAGGTCCAGCCATAGTTGAAAGTGTGACTTTGGGGGAGGCAAGGGAACTCAGCAGCAACTCGGACTAGACTTAGCGGCGCCTGGGTGGGGAACTACCAAATAGGCCCCTAAGTAGTTCCTTTTAGGGGTTTATATTTAGAATCCCATAAAGTTATCCCAAAAAAGGAACTACTTAGGGGCCTATGGGTATACCATACTATCTTTGTACGGGGTTGAGGGCTTCAGGCAATCAAAAGCATATGCTTATCAGATCAGGGTAAGGTTTCAACTTCGTAAAAAGCATGAACAGGTGTTGAGCAAGGCTTGCTTTAAGCCCTGAACCCTAAACCCTAAACCGTCTCAAGCGTCGTCGTCTAATAAGAGGCTAGGCCATCCGCAGCCCGAAAGAGATGCTGAAAATGCTGAAGTCGAGGCCCTGGCATCCGACCAGAGTCCGGTTTATTAGGGTTTAGGGTTTTAGGGCTTTGGGCTTCTACGGTTTAGGGTTTTAGGGTCTTAGGGTTGTAGGGTTGAGGGTTGTAGGGTTTAGGGTTTTGGAAGCGGAACCTGAACAATTTCGCTGACTGGAGTCTGCTTCGACTTCGATATATGACCCATGTAACCCGAAGCCGTAATGCAGGCCCTATCATTAGCATCCAAACACAAAAGTTATCTAAATCGTAGTCCTTGTTGTTCCAACGTCATGTAGCTTAAGACTTAGAACAGAGCCCGTAATCCTTGACCATGACCCCTCCGGGACCCGATGGTTTGGAGGTTATGGGATTCTCCTGTAACCCACAGCCATAGACTCAGCTTAGAAGACATGGCATGATAGCCAGCTTATCGAACCTGACAATCCCAACATTTAAAAGACCACACAGACTTCAGGCTGTGCTTCTTTGCCTGGGACTGGGCCGCTTACGCAGAGAGGCATTACCAGGGGCTGGAAAGGTTCGGGTTTACTGGGCAGCCGGAAGGGCCCATCGATCAACATGGTTATAGTGTTGCCGCAAGGACACAGTTCAGAAAGGTCGATATAGGCAAGCGAAAGGGCCAACTAAGTACAAGGTGATAGCATAGGAGTCTCAAGTTATAGTCAGAACATTCTGCATCACGCACGTTAGGCTGCTACACATTCATGGACAGCATACAACACAACGAAGCTTCATTGTCATTGCTCTGGTTGGGTATTGCCCTTTGAACTGCAGGTTTGGTGCATGTGACGTATTAATATGTATATATATATATACAGATCAACGTAGATAGTCAAACAATTAAATGAACCAGTAACTGAAGTACCCAAACAGATATCTACTTGAGAAGACCATAGCGTAGATGGACAACCTTAAATAGGCAAAGGTGTGCACGGGAGATGGCAGCGAGGAGGTGTGGTCGATGGGACTGGTGCTTCCTCCACCAGCCGTCGGATGTACGCCCACCAGTTCTGAGCCTGTGAAAGCCAAACCCCCCATCCCATGATCACTTCGTCCAATTAAGATGTAACTGAATACGGTTATATTCTTAACAAGCCGTCAAACTTTTGTTTATATTCTATCCCAAACCACCAAGCCCACAATCCCCCGCTGAAACCCCAATGGTACCCTAAATCAAATCCCGAACCGATAGGCGCCGCAGTGGCGCCAGCGGCTGGCTCCTCTTCTTGAAACAGTACTGCCAGGCCATGGAACTGCGATCTGTGGTGATCTAGTATAGGGGCCACAGCATTTAGACAGGTTTCGGTGTATATCATACTGCAGTTACGATAAGGAGCGCTAAGGAATACCCATTATACTACTTGTTTACGCCCTTGTGTTCGAGTTGCATGGAGCGGTCTGAATTCTGTCATAATGCTCTTCCCATACGGTCCCAACATATGCTGTACGCTATCTATCTGTAGATTTGTAGACATAACACCAGAACCATTTTCCAATTAATAAAGCCCGCTTGCTTAATATAGGGCGGGGCTCATTGGGTTCAGGGTTTGGGTTATGGGGATTAGGGGTTCAGGATGTAGGGTACTGGTTCGAGCTTTCTCACCAAATCCTTGGAACGAAGCGTCACCACCCCTTCAAAATGAATTGAGCAAGTTGGAAGGCGAGTAGAGATTGATCAGCCTACGTTGCCGCTAGTTCACAGATCTAGATAGCCAATAGAACTTTAAACTTTGTGGCCTTATATATTAGGGCTATCCTCAAAAGTTTGAGCTTTTTTTTGGGGGCTTGGTTATTGAAGAAGAGAGCAGACCCACAGCCCAAGAAATGAGCCCCGCATGAGCCTGAAGTCCCCGGGTTTCGGGTAGTTCTCTAAATTAGGGTCCCTTTCGAGGTCCCCAAGATAGTACGGCACCCATACACAACGGACCCTAAAAGGAGCCCTAACTATAGAGAGCTACCCATATGTATTGCGACATCATGAACGGGAGTCAACTGGAGCATCTTCGGGCCTGGATGTAGCCTTCGCTCCTGCACCCTATATAATCCTAAACCCTGTGGGAAGTATGATATACCTTGAAGTATGTATCAAAGTATGTATTATAGCATCGCATAATTATAGCATATTATAAACCTTACACCAAGCCCTAAGCTTGCAACCCCAATTCCCGAGCCTTCAAGCTAAAACCTGTAAACCAGCCCCAAACCTTGACAGGTGGCAGCGTGGACGGGCCAAAGGCTCTGCTCACCTCCCTGAGGACTGTGGCAGAACAGGTGGCTGGAGCCTCGGTTTCAGGTCAAGGGCCACTTCCTGCGTCTTAAAAATCTGGCGCTTTGTGGCCTTAAGCCCTAAATCCTAAACCCTAAACCCGAAATCCTAAACCCTAAACCCCAGCTTTTCATCGGGTTAGGATTTCGGTCTCAGACTGGCCCGAATGGTTTTCTTTGGCTGCGATCGCACCAGGAATCATTGGTCGACTTCTTTGGGGGCCCAATTAACTCAGAAGCTTATGCTGAAACCCGTCGCAGGAGGCCAACAAGATTTGCAGAGGGCTGCAGTAGGAGTGGGTTCAGAACTTATATTTGTAATCCCAGTCCCAGCAGTTATAGTACAAGTAAATCGCACACCATCGCGTCCAAAACCCAAACAACCCATGAACAGAAGACAGTCCGACTGCGTAACCTCTGAAGTAGAGTGCGTCGACAATGACACGTGCAGAAACACATGTAACACCAAGTAATACTTCGTAAAGCTTGCAATAAATATTGCCACTGTGCTGCAACTGGCACCCTAAGCCCAACCGAGCAGAATAAGCTGAACCAGACCCCGACGTCCCCAAACCCGGAACCCCTAAGTATCACTGTCCTTCGGAACCTGACTATCAAATAGTCTGTCTGACATTACACAAAGCCTTATGCCAATTCAGAATGAACAAATACCAACCTTAGGGTTCTTTCTGGCAACGTATAGTACCCGTATGCTAGTTTCTTGCGCCCCCCTACATTAATAAACTCCAAAACCCTAAACCTTCTTAAACCCTATGATAGGTTAAACCAAAACCCGTGGCTTCTCGCATAGTTTGGAGGCTGCCTCCCCAGCGGAGGCTGCTCAAGATATCGCCTCGGAATCGGAGGAGGCAAGAGCTTCATGGTGCCAGGGTTAAGGGTTTAGGGTGTATTAGGGTTTAGGGTGTATGAGGATTAAGGGTTTAGGAAGTTTAGGGTTTCGGGTGTGTTAGGGTTAAGGGTGTTCAGGTTAAGAGGGATTAGTGTTTAGGGGTTACTTGCCTTCTTGTTCTGGAGGGGTGGAAGTTTCATACTAAAGGGTTTGGGCTTTTCGGACGGCTTTAAGATCGCTGTGATGTCGGGCTTGCTTGAAGGTTCATGTCTCCTTGTAAGATCTTGTAAGTAAAGTTGTAAGTTCGCTTATCTGGGCTATCAGAACTGTTGATCATCGCTACCCTGGCAGGTTCAGCGTTTTGGTTGGCATCCCTGAACCTAAAAATCCCTAAAACCGAATTTCCGGCTTGTAATCTCCCGAGCCTGGGATTTGGTCTGTGCCCAGGGCGCAGACCTTGAAGGTAGGAGTTAGCCGGGATTTCGGCTGTTGGCGCCCTGATGGCTGCAGGGCTTGTCAACGGAGTACTGTTCCAAAAACGGGTCCGGGTGGGGGTTTCTGAAAATAGGGGACCCTAATGTAGCACCCTAAATAGTAGGACCCTTATTATAAGGACCCCAAAATAAGGTACCCTAATTTTCGGAAAGTCCCAGGTAGTCTAAACAATGAGTGTCACAGCAAGTCTTGCTTGCTGGCAGACCTTCCAGTCAAGCAAACTGCGGAGCCCTAGGGAAAGATGACCGTGCACGTCCTAAACCCTCTAAGTATACGGCCCTCTACGCAGTGTCTGTGTTGCTAAATTCGTACGCCTCACACAAAACGAAGTGATCGCAGTGTCAGCAACCCTATATTACTTGCCAAATCTGCTGTGGGCCAGGAGCAATTTCCGCTGCTCTGCGATTGCACCTTCACCCTCGCTTGTGGCGTAGCTCGGCTTTCGCACAGCTTTTTCGGCCAAGTTCTACTGTACATTCTGAGATGGTTTTGGCTGAAAACCCCGCTGTTTGGGCGCTTTGGGGAAGCAACCATTAACCTCTAGACCCTTAATCCACCCGACATCCACCCGACGCCCTAAACCCTTAAACCGCAAAGCCCTCAAACCCTAGAGCCCACTTGCAAGCCCTAAGCCCGATAGCCGCAAGCTCTCGACTCGGGGGATTGAAGTAAACAGCTCCATAGTGCTTAGGAAACACGATGTTTAGGGTTTGGGGGTTTAGGGTTCAGGGTTTAGGGTCCGTAGTGTTTATGAAAGTAAAACGCTACAGAACGTTTGGGGCTTTCAATCCCAAACCCACGACCCCAAAGTTTACACCGGTTTGGGAGGTTTCAGACTTGCAGGGGGTTTTCGGGTTGATTGAAACCCCTAAATCGACCGCGAACCTTTAGTATTGGGCTCCCGAAGCAATTCATTAGACACCCCAGCCACTGTGCGCCATTCGTAGCGTTTCGGGGTACTGGGGCTTCTAGGGCCTGTGGGGCTTACGGCCTCAGGGTTCAATGTGGGGTGTGAGGGTTTTTGGAGCAGGGTCTCGGTCCCCCAAACCCTCAGCCCCTTGGTAGGTCTGGCTGCCCTATTGCTATAGCAGGGGATTGGAGAAAGCTCGGCCGAAAGCTCTTGATTTCTGTGATTCCTTGGGCCCTGCGGAGTTACAAAAGGTTTTGGGAGGCAGGGAGTCAGACTTAGGGTTCTGGGTACCTTTTTTGCTGTTAACATTGACATGGGTTTCCGCTTCAGTCCCGAATGCAATTATGGTATATACTATATAGCCCAGGGACCCTTTTCTAATTAGTAAGGCCCCTATATCAGGGCTCTCTTTCGCCCAGGCAGCAACATTGCTGACAGAGGCGAGGCTGCAGCTGAGGCTCAGGGCCAGGGAGGATGGACGAGTTCAGTTGGCGTTTTGTCCGGGCTCTACGAGAGTTTTGTTGAAAGGATGGTGCTTCTTTGTTCATGTGGAGCTTTGTTTCAAACGAAAGGCTGTAGAGATTTAGGGTTTCGAGGTTTGGCTTGTTGCTTCTGCTGATATTTTACATAATGAATCAAAAAAAAGTTGACCCGTAGCAAGACTCAACTATCTCGCTTTGATCGGCATGTCCTTTCGGGGCCGTTCGGTGCGGCAGGCATGCCTTGAACCATGATATCTTCGTAACAATGAAAGCATGTCGAGGATCGGATGCCTTACTAGACTAGCATAGAATACGGCCGGTAATAAGTCTCAGTCTCAGACCAACAACCATGTCCCTTGAGAGCCCTTCGAGGCCTTGCCGAGACCCTCAATGCATGCATGGATGGATGGATGGATGGATGGATGTATGCACAGAGAGAAGGAGAATGAGAGAGAGAGAGAGAGAGAGAGAGCGAGCGATACGCACATAAATACATACTTGCTTATTATGTCTATGTAGACATATATGAATTGAGGTACATGTATTGAAAGAGGTACTAGTAACGTTATTGTATAGATATACACATGTGCCTGTATATACACATTGTCATGCATTTGCAACTGCTGCTCCGTCGATCGATGCCCTGACGCTGCCCTTGGTAAATGTCTTCCTCGGAAAGTCAGCTTTTGAGGGACTGGCTTCGCTGGTCCAATGTCCGACTGCAGCAGTGAGCGGCTCTTGGTTGTTTCTGTTCTATGCACGCCCAAAGCTGGCCCCTGCTAAAATTACTGAATAGAACAGATTTGAGTCGAATTGCTATGACATGTTTATGATGCGATATGATATGGTATGATACGACATGATATGACATGGTATGGCATGTTGTGCTGTGATAAGCTATGATACGATATGATCTGGTACAGTATGAGAAAAACACAGTTTCGTTTCTAGTACCGTAGAACAGAACATAAATGATGCAGCGACCACATGCTGTTAGAATAGGATACAAAGGATTAGGATGTAATATAAGCACACACACACACATATATATATATATGAGCGACAGCATAGAACATCATCGAACAAACATATTTTATATATGTATGTGTCCATATGTAGGGGGTATGGTAGGTTGGTGTCAGCGTTTCAAAGATGTTTTGCTTGTTTTTTTGCCGTTATTTTGAAGTTGTTGGCCCCTCGCCCTCGTAGCAGGCGTGGCCACGTCTATGGAATCGTGGGGGGGAATGACAGTGGGAAAAGCCGGAATCTTGGAAACATAGGACCGCGAATTACCAGTTCGTCCAGAAAGTCGGAGACAGTTAGGATTAATTTGTGAACTGCAGCAAACTGCTGCGCAGGAGGTGTTGGTGCATTCAGAGCATTCCTACTACTCCGCTTCGCCACTGGCACAGGCACTGCTCCTTTCATTCTAGGCAGGCTTTGTCACACGATGGGATCACCAGCCTGTGCCCCATGTTCCCGAAAGCCTCAACGATTTAGCTGGCAGATTGAAGTAACACCTCGCCGCTTAGGATCTGGAGGCTTGAAAGTTTGGCGCGTGGACAAGGGATGGTCCACTGTGATTTCTTGCCGTCAGATAGACGAGATGATAGCGGTGGTCGAATCACTGCTTATGTACGGAGGGGTGGAAGAATTTTCGGAGTTCGGGTTCGGCAGAGAGCTTGATACCAGCTTGCCTTTTGGGTTTGTTATCCTGCTTGTGACTGCGTAGGCCAAAAACCGAATAAGGTAAGTCCGTTGGGGCGAGTCCTAAACTCTAAACCAAACGCTGGAACATTCAACCCAAAGCCCAAAATCAAACTTAGCCAGGAATCCTGAACACTAAACCCTAAAACCCTAAACTCCTAAACTCCTAACCGCTAAGCCGAACTTTTCCGAGGCACTCTCCTTCGCGCCATCCACGAGCGACGTGTCTCCGGCTTCCCACCTGCCCGGAGACCTGTGCTTCTTAGGGTTTAGGGTTTAGGGGTAGTTTAGGGGTTTAGACTTTAGGAAGGGTTTAGGCGTTTAGGGTTTAGGGGTTTTAGGGTTTAGGGGTTTTAGGGGTTTAGGGGTTTTAGGAATTTAGGGACTTTAGGTGTTTAGGGGTTTTAGGGGTTTTAGGGGTTTTAGGGGTTTAGGGGTTTTAGGGGTTTTAGGGTTCTTGCGTTGGTTTAGGGCTTAGGGGTGCTTAGGGGTTTAGGGGTCGGAGATGGGAACATGATTCAATTATGTGTATGTGTGCATACAACTATGAATCTGCAAGCAGATGCAGAGATAATTAGGTAGATAGAAAGAAAGAAAGATAGACAGACAGATAGACAGGTAGACAGATCGATAGATAGATAGGTAGAAAGATAGAGAGATAGGTAGATAGATAGAAAGATAGATAGACAGAGAGACAGACAGATACACAGATAGACAGGTAGAAAGATGGGCAGATAGGCAGGTTTTGTCAGATCGATAGATAGATAGATAGATAGATAGATAGATATGTGAATAGACAGGTAGACAGACATATAGACAGATAGACAGGCAGCCAGATAGACAGAATAGATAGAGAGACACAGATGGATAGAGAGATACAGATAGGTAGATAGATAGAGAGATAAAGATAGAGAGATAGAGAGATACAGAGATGGAGAGACAGAGAGAGAGAGAGAGAGATAGGTAGATAGATGAGGCATAGCTTAACTCGCTGTATTCACGTATGCATGTTGGCTTTTGTGCCTTTATATCTTGGTTTCTGAACCCCGCAGCCTCCTTTTCGAACTCGCTGGGCCTTCTATGTCTACGAGAATTTCACGTCTTCTAGGGGTCTTGAAGAAACAAAGAATAAATCACTGATAGTCCATATACAACCATCCACCATTGAGGTCCCCATATTCGGAAAGAGCCGCAGCAGTTTCCAGCATTGCTCGGTTCAGGGTTTGGGACCGGGCAGTGCTCACAAAGTTATCGGAGGCTGAACGTCTTCGATCCTCTGCGCCTAAGGAGCATGGCGCAACAGACTAGGCGCAAAATGGCACCCTCAAGCAGCCCTTGTCTCCCCTAAACCCCAAACCCGTAGACCGTGGAGAATGTCATGTGGCTTTCGTCTTGTTGGGCAAAGCATCAGGAAGCCCGGGCCGTGCAGGACCTTCCGGGCATCTTGCGGAGTTCTTCGCCAGGGTTCTCTTTCACGTGTGCTGGTCCCGGAAGACTGAAACACCCCGCTTATGGTCTTGTGACCAAAGGTGCTGCATCCGAAGGAGCTTAAGCAGTTGCGTCCTATCTCCTTAGGCAGCGCGGTGGTGGAAGCTGTTCTCGCGGCTCTTGTTGAACCCCACTTTGGGGTTCATCGCCCTCCGCACTCACGCGCAATGCGCAGGCCTTGGACGGCAGGCCGCTGATTACGGTTGATGATATAAATCCTGCACTACCCAGAATAAGGAATTAGACCATAATTCCCATAGATTTAGGGTCCTTAAGGTAATTCAGGATTTAGATCATCAACAGTATCTCTTCTCGCTCTGGAGGGCCCTGGAAAAGGACCGCGAAAGGAGAGCAGGGCTCTGCCTGGTGAACAGTTGGACTGAGGGTTGGGGTTTAGGGCTTAGGGTTTAGGACCGAAACCCTAACCTAAAACCCTAAATTGTCTGGAAATCTAAAGTGCAGAGGGACCACAGAGATGTGCAAACTCCATCTCCTCAGTTGGTTGCCGCTGCCTTAAGCTTGCCTGAAGTCTTAAAGCCTCAGCCTGAGCCTACCAGAAATCCCCCTGAACCTTAAACCCTAAACCCTAAGCCTTGAATTCTAGAACCTACCGGAAATCCCAAAGCACTAGGCTTTCTACTGACCGGGCATGGGGTCCATGGGTTCGGGAATCGACCCGAAAGCTCTCGACGAGGCATCTGAGCTCCGCACTTCCTTGGTCGAGCATGGCGCGTCTCGGCTGCGGTGTTGTGCTTAAGAGAGAGCTCACTACTCGGATGAAAGGTTAGAGTTCAGGGTTTAGGGTTATATTCCTTGAGTCATAGATCATACTGGTACAGCCTTTAAGCCCTAAACCCAACATCTGAAGCACCCTAGTGCTTCCTGTTGTATAAACCGTACTTCGCACGATGTCGGTCCCTAAGAACATGCGAGCTCCATTTTGACGAGGTTGGGGAGCGTTCACCCGACTGCGACCGAACGCCAGTGGAGCCACAGGGCGACAATAACAGCAGTGTTTGTTCTGTTAACGGGGTCAGGGTTCAGCGAGTTTAGGGTTCAGAGAGTACGATTACACGGTGGTTTGAGCTTTAGGGCTTCAAAAGAGTTTGGGGCCAGAACGTAGGCTAGGTTTGATGTTCTGAGGCCCTCGCGAGTTTGTCAAAAGAGGGTGCTGGGATTGGGGCGGTGGTTCGAGGTAAGGACTGCCCCGCTAGGGTTTAGGGTTTAGGGTTTAGGTTTGATTCAACTGCGACAATTTAGGGTTCAGAATTTTGCCACTATCTGCAGAAAGGCTTTAAGTGGGCTGGAGCCGTTTAAACCCTAAACCCTAAAGCCTAACCCCTAAACCCTCAACCCTAAAACCTAAAACCTAACCCCTTTAAACCCTAAAACCTAAAACCCTGAACCCCGAACCCCGGTTGCCGCGGTTTGCGGAGGCCTGCACGTGATTCTTGCAGAAACAGCATCGACTGTTCAAGGTGTATTTCTGTTCCTCCACTAAATTTACGGATATTCCGGTTTCACAGTTTAGGCTATAAACCCTCATAGTGACTCCTTGTTGCATGCAGTGAAGAACTTGACCTGTATATGACGCCTTGTTCCTTGCTCGCGTCAAAGTCTAATTCAAGATACCTGCATCTTTCCTGCTGGTGCCCGTGTGTAGCAATGGAATCTGTGTTTGTATCAAATTGGGGTCTGGATCATTGGCAACAATATCGCCGCACAGTCCCTATACGATAACCCCTAAACCGCAAAACCCTAAAGGTTGCTAAGCCGCATTTGACCTCTGGAACTTTCTGCCGCTGCCCTTCGGCAAGCGTTCCTTAAGCTGCCCATCTTAGGGTTGTGGGAGCTGGGGCTTTAGGGGGATCTAGGGTTCAATAATATACTACTATAATGAACTGTAATGTACTATAGTTTACTGTAGTTACTTTACCATTATAGACTATGACATACTATAATAAAGGCTTCCTGGCCACTCATGATTGGACTGCTTCTTACAACAAGGCTCCCTCACTCTGGGTTTCTCAAAGAGCACTTTGTCACCGAGGGCTACGCTGCTACACTCTTTCTCTGCGCTGGCTCGGCCACCCCACAGGGTGGCCCTCTTGCCCCGTTCTGCGTGGCGCTGTGGGTCTCCTCGGGAGTCTGCACAGCAGAGCGTCAGGTTGCTGAGAACTGCGACGCTCTCGCACTACCTGGACGATAATCAGGACTTTCTTCTGGAGGCATTGTTAGCAGGTTCTTGTCATCATCCACAGCTGGACGGTACATGCGGGCAGAATTGTGCTTTCGTACCCTCGCCCTTCACCTCGGATCTACACACTGTAGGGCTCGTCTCGATGGCCCCGCCGCCCTATTCTAATTACATGGCCCCGTTCATTGAAACCCACAAAAAAGCCCGAGGAGGACTTGTATTCTAGCTTACAGGGCCTAGAGAGTTCTTCACCCTGATGTCGATACGATTTTTTTCGGCTCCCTCGGCCCCCGGCGTCTAATTTTGGGCCTTCGTATTTAATTAGGGGGCCTTATGTGTTTTTGAGGAGTCTATAGAGTGATATGCGGTTGTAGATAGAAGTATTCTCCCCTAAAGCCCCTCGCAAATTGCAGTGTAAGCAGCCTTCATCCACGTGGGCTACGGCCGTGAAAAAACCGCTACAACACCATGGTGATAATAGAGGGGTCTCAACAGTCAGAACAGTGCTTTGGGCTATTATGCTATTGCTATATGAAGGAAGTTTCGGGAATAATATTATTAGTTAGTCCGACCTCTACTTCGCATGAAGATGCCTCGGACTTCCTTTTAGGGGGTAATAAGGATCCTGCCGTAAAACGGGATCTAGGTAGAGGATGACTTGAAACTCCCAGAAGATTTCTGAACCCCTTATCCCGAAACCCTAAACCCTGAAAGCCCTAAACCCTAAACCCTGAAAGCCCTGAACCCTAAACCCTGAAAGCACTGAACCCTAAACCCTGAAAGCTCTGAACCATGAGACTGAAGAGCCAAAAGAGTTCTAAAGCCCTAAACCCTTGAAGCCTCACACCCTGGCACCCTAAGCCTCACACCTGGAGCCCTTCTAACGTAGGGGCTTAAATAAGTACCAACCTGATTTATTTAGTTATTCACTATGTTTTATTGCATATATATATATTTCTTTTTTTTTTGGGGGGGGGGCTTCCTTATTATAATTGTAGTAGAATGGGCCCCAGAACCTTATTTTGTTTATTGAGGCCCCTATATTACCCGAAACCCGTACACCCTCCACTGTAAACCCGAAACTCTTACAGCCTAAACCCTAAACTCCTAAACGCGAAACCCTTACAGCCAAAGCCCTAAAGCGTAAACCCGAAACCCCTGCAGCCTAAACCCTGAACTCTGAAACGCCGAGGGGCAAAGAGTTGAGGCTTAGGGATTACCAGGGCCCGCGCCCATCAAAAAACCGGACACTTGATGGGTAGAAGGTTTAGGGTTTAGGATTTAGGGTTTAAGGTTTTCGATCTCCAAGGGGTCTTCAGTCTCATGGTTCGGGGCTTTAAGGGTTTGGGGCTTATAGGGTTTATAGGGTTTATATGGCTTACAGGGTTTATAGGGTTTATAGGATGTAGGGTTTAGGATGGCTTAGGGCTCTAAGGATTAAGGTTTCGAGTGTAGGGTGGTTGGGGATCAGGCTCCACATTACTTTGAACGCCTGGGGGGCCTCACGGGCCCTGCTATTCCGCTGGGCTCCTGATCATATATATCTACAGTAGAAATATGCCCCAAAATCCGATTCCAACGATTTAGACTCCCATGCTAAACACAATTTAGCAACCCCTATAGATCCCGGTAAGGACACCGTATAAGGAGCCCCACTTTGATTTATGAGGCCCGTACTGCAGAAGCCCAATGAAATTCTAGTATTGGTGGGGTCCCTTATAACTCTAAATGTACTGTTAAGGAGCTCAGAACCCTATTCTATTAAACCCTAAACCCTTATAGTGGCCCTTAGAGAGCCCTTTAAGGAACCCTGCTTTTAAAGGAGCCCCCAAAAACCCATGATTTGTGCAGAGCTTACGCTTTGAATGGGCTGAGGTTCCTCTTAGCCGACCCGGTGATCCGCAAGCTTCAGCTCTCCGAACGCGACGCCGGGGGCCCATGCTTAGGGCCTTAGGGCTTTGGGTCTGAGTTTCTTGGATTTAGGGTTTAGGGTTTCTGGTTTAGGGTTTAGGGCTTAGGGTTTAGGGTTTAGGGTTACCCAGATTTTCGGGAGGATCCAAAAAATAGACCTTAAGCGTGTTCCCATTAAAGTACCCTTTAGTAGTTGGGGTCCCAAGCTAGGGGATCTACTTTTTAGATCCTCCCGGGGGTCTGGGGGCTTTGGGGCTGAGTTTGTTGGGCTTCGGGGTTTTGGGGGTTAGGGCTTTGGGACCGACAAGTGAGGGCTCCAGGGGCCAGGGTGGAATTTGTGTTTGGAGTTGTGGGTTTGGGGTTTAAGGCGGGTTTTGAGCAAAAAGGGGGTTTGGGCAGGTCAGACGAACGGGGTTCATTCAAGACGAATCAGTCCTTGATGAGTCCTGAACCCTAAACCCTATATTACACCCCAGCCCTACACTTCGGGCTTTCCCCCAGATATGCGCGACTATTGTGCGGCTCTATAGGGATTCCGAAACCGTGAGCAGAAGAACTTGCTTGTCGAAGACCGTCCATGTGCCCCAAATCCCTGAGCCCCAAAACCGCAGACAAGTTAGGGATTTGGGGCTTAGGGTGTAGGTTTTAAGGTTTTAAACCGGTTTAGGGTTTAGGGTTTAAGGTTTAGCCTTCCCAACTCACATGATTAAACCCTGCTTCTTATGCAGGAAGCCTGAGCCCTCACACCTAGCGCCCCGAACGGTGTACAGTGTGGGTTGAGGCTTTCCTGAACGTCCCTAATGGGTAATTGTAGAACCCAATAAAGAAACCTAAAGCCGCGATGAAGCCTGAAACTCTATAGATCCTTTATCAAAGGCCGCAGAACTTTCATAGACGCTCATTCTTACATAATTATATTCAACTATGTTACGTAGCCTCAGTCCCGAGTCCGGGGAGTGTAGCAGAAGGTGGTCGCCGAGCTTTCAAAGCTTGGCTTCGCTGAGGGCTCCAGGCAAGGAGTGTCGGTCGGCCTGTTTTTTTTCTTATTTCTACTGGCTTTTTCTAGGGGGGGGGGGTAGTTACCGCATATTGGGATGATGTGGTCTGTGGCTCTTTGTGCACCTAGACGATCCTTGGGCTTCGCAAGGTTCAGCAGGGGTTTTCGGCTTTGGGGTGTCACAGGCTTCTGGTGCTGTTTATGGGGTGATTTCGGGTTGGTGGTACGGTCCACTCTGCTCCTCAGGGGGCTACCTTTGGCATCGTATGCTGGACGGGACTTGCAATGCGACAAGGAGGTGGCTTTCGTGCTGGCAAGCAACCAGGTCCAGCTGGACACTTGGGACACCCCGGGCATTCTGTTGTTCCAGCTGCTCATGGCTTTGAGTACCAGAATGTGGCTGGGAGCTGAAGCCTGCTCTCCACGCGAGCTCTTCTTCAATACGATGTGCTGTTACTACTTGAACCTGCTCTCTGTGCAGGAAGCTTGGCAGACGAGGGGCGTTGGCTGGCAGTCGCAGTTCTTGCATGTCTTCACCACCCGCAATCTCCTTTACACGACGATCCACATGACAGAGAGTTTGCGGCACTGGCCATCAGCTTCCTTGCAGTTCCGCCTGCTGCTG